TCTTCTGTGAAGCCCAAGTAAGTCACATTTTGTCATAAATGTGGATAAAGATGTTGAAATTGAGTACCTGAATATTTACAGTATGTCTCCCTATCTGAAAGTGTTTGAAAAGTATGTTTTCCTTTACTCTTAGATGAATTTTAGGCGTAAAAACAAATTGTCAGCTCAGTGTTTCCTCTACCATTATATTAGGGGGGCGCCATACCCTTGTCAACCCGCGCCCCCCTTAAGCTAGATTCCTAGTGCAAACACTGCAGCTTATCTTTATAACCTTTTCTGTTCTTTTCCTTGAAGCTCTACAGTGAGTTCCACAGAATCACCAATCACAATCTACCCTTTGCCTTCTTTGCTGCACTTGACAACTACACACCTAAACTACTGAAGCTCTACAAAAAGAGGAAGACCGGAATCTTTGGTGAGAAGATAGAACAACTTTTGCTGGCTTATGAAGAGCAGGTAAACAAGTTTTAATGCATTGCATTTATATTGAATATAATTGTTGGACCTTACACTCCTCTAAACTCCTCCCCTGTTTTTGTTTGTGCAACAGGACAAGAACAACATTGGTGCAGCTAGAACAGCCGCCCTCGCCGGCCTACCACTATATTTAAAGGAGGATTCATCAGAAGTCTTCAAAACTTGCAAGGTATGTTTTATCTTTCACACCATAATAGCTGACGCTCAGCAGAATAACGCAGGGAAACTACACAGGAATCTGACGCGACAAACTGGCAAAGGACAAGTGAGACACACGGGTAGATATACACAAGGCAGACTGGGGATAACAAGACACAGGTGGAGACAGTGACAAGGTGCAGGTGTGATTGCTGAGGAGGAAACAAACAGACACAACAGGAAAACAGATTTCACAATAAAACAGGAAACTGATAAATATACATACACTAGACAACAGGAAGGAGCACACAGGACACAACACAGACATTAACATGAAACAGATCACAGGACAGGTAACAGAAGCACACAGAGCTACAGACAGGCTGGAGGTAAACAGGCATGAACCACACTGACAATGAAGGGGATAAACTGGATACAGATAACTAAACTTAACATGGACACAGAACACAGGCATGATACACAGATCAGAGAAAGAAAACATAACGAGGAACATGTGATGAGAGTTCAAAACGGCAGGATCGTGACAGTTATGCCTGTCATTTAATTGGGTGTCAAGTTAGATAGTTCATATTTTTCTTTAAAGGGATTTAATGTATGACTAATAAAATAAATCATAGGGCATCATAGATTTCCTACTCCTCTCAACATGTAGTAGAGTGTCATTGTGTATTGCATCTGGATCATTTATACAATTACACTTGCATTAAGGATGTATTTCTTTTTTAGGAAGAATCTGAGGCAGACCAAGAGGGGCCAGTGGCTTTGGTGGCAGTGGTCAATGGAGAAGTGCCTGCAGGAATCCCCTTTGAAATTAACCATGTGTCAGTCGTCCTTGAGGGGCAAGTTGTTATGTATCACAGATCCTGGACAGACTCACTGGTGGGTTTGTTTGGACTGATGTATGCTCTACATTTGAGCTATCCTGAGAAGCTAAGTGGCTTCTTTGAGTTCATACAAGTTGTGCTCCTAAAGCTTGATGATGGCAGAAAGCAGCTCAAACCAAAGTTACAGGCCCTGAGAAACGAACTGGAATGAGCCTGTTTGTCACTGGAGGTCTGCAGTGCCTTACAAAGATTTGGCTTGCATGCCAAAAATTAATGCTGCTTTGTGTTTATTCAGTTCATACTGTTCCTTTTTATATTTAACCACTTGTTAAATGATAAAACATTTTTATTTTTATGTCATGTGGTGACATTTGCCAGCTTTTTTGTACTATGTACAGTACTTTATACTTTAGTACTTGTAACTGATGTTAAAGTGTTGTTGAAATGTATTGAAAAATATTTTGTTACGTTCTGTTTTGAATTTTTGAACAAAATAAAAAGTTGTCTGACATACTCATATCTATTGTGTTGTTAAAACGTAAATCATTTAAGGCAATCACTTTCCTCAAATGACTTGAGTAGCTACAGCAAAGATTGAAGTTGACATAACTTGATTGTAATAACTTGTCTTAATGGAATAAGATTTAGTAAATTAAACTTAAGTAGTAATATCTGTGTTAATTTATACATATAATTTAGACTTACTTGATCTGTAAAAGTTAAATGTACTAATTTTAAACAAGTTAGGGTGACGCTTCATATGGGTTCAACTAATATCATAGTTTGATTAACTTGAATCTATTTTATGTACTTAAATAGTTTGAGTTAATTAATTTAAACGATTTAAGGCAATCACTTTCCTCAAATGGTTTGAGTTCAACTAACTCATCAGGTTTCTCTGTATATTCTCAGTCTCCCTCTAAAATGTGTAGATATCTAGAGCTCGATAAATAGGAACAGCACGTATCTGTGGGCTGTACAAGCCCCATCATTCCACTAAAGGGAATACACACCTTTTTGTGGTTGTTAGAAAGTTAGAACGATCACCTTAAGCAGGGGTGGGCAGTTCATTTTTACAAGGGGCCACATGAGAAACCTGAACTGTGTTGGAGGGCGGAACCAACAATAACTTAAACTCAATTCTGCTCAATATTCTGTAACCGGCGGGTTGGCCACGCCTACACCGCCTGGTTAGTAATTTCTCGGAATGATCATGGATATAAATAACACCTGGGGAGATGCTGTTGCGATAAGCAATTTCTGGGTTGGTCGCTGCCGTAACTGATTTGAAGTGAATCTCCCTTCATCGAGCTGTGTCCGGCTTCTCCTTTAAGGTTTGTTCAACGGGCTGATTGTAGATCGGATCTGTTAACAGTGTAACGTTTTTTAATCAGGTTGTTTTGGTTGTAGACTGTTTTTAGGAGATTGCCGCATGCTCTCCTGGAGCGATAATCGATGCAAGCGTGATCCAGCAGAAGTTGGCATCCATTGCACATGCTGTACTAGGGTGACGTGCAGCCAAGGTAACCTGTAGCATTGTTGGTTTTAATTGTTTTGATCGTTTCTATACTATTCCTTAACAGTGGCTTTACTTGTTGCAGGGGTGATAGCCACTGCTGTTTTGCTTATGTAACGCTTTGCCTTGTTTGCTTTTATGTTAAGGTTTGCCTAGCTATGTTCCTTATTTATTGTATTGTTTCCAAATAGGGTTTAGTCAATTTTATGGTGTGTGAACAGTGTGAATGGTTTTATGCACAGGGAGGCAAGGCCCTCTTATATTTGGTTGGTGCATGATTAATTGATTTGTGGTGTTTATTTAATGGTGCCTTTTAACCTGTTGACTCTGACCATTTTATTCCTGTTCTGCACTGTATTTATTGAGTGGGGGGGGACTTCTTGTAGGTAGCATTTTAGCTTCTGGGGTTAGGCTTCTTAAAACTGAATTTGCCCTCTGAAAACGGGGGGGGGGGGGGTTATTCTTGGAGAACTACGGTCTGAGTTGCCTAGGCCTGTATATTGGCCCGGTCACAATTCATTATCTCCCATTGTTAAAAAAGCAGTAAATTATGTGTTGATTAGCTGCTACTGGTAATCAGAAGAATAAGCATATTCTGTAAATATTTATGGAAATATGTGAAACTGTGTAGATCAAACAGGAAAATACTCTTATAAAAGTAATAAACAGTAAAAACATTACATCAGTTCCATTTTATTTTCAACTTCACATAACCCTGAAAAGGTGTTTTGCAGCATGTTAAAGATATGCATTTTCAGTTCTTTTTACTTGTTCAGTGAGAGAAATCCAGTCTGGCTTGGGCTTGAACAAGTACATTGAAATCTGGCTGTATATCTGAGGTGGATACGCAAAGGATAGTTGAGAGGTGATCATCACTGATGGAGGATCTGGATTTGTTGAACTTTATCACTGAGAATGTCTGTTCACATATGTAGGCAGATCCAAAGATTTCCTGTGATGTCCTCAACCCTCCTCGTTCCAGTACATCGGGAGAGGGGATGTTCTCATATGCGCCCTTTTTCTCCGGGCATATTGGTGCTGCAGGGTCCAACAAACACTCTTTAATAAACTCTGTCAGAAAACTGCTTACTTTTTCTGGTGATTTTGTGGGATATGACATAACTTGTCTTGAAAGCTGCATCTGAGTGTGGAAAGTTTTGTAAAAAGTCTTGGTTGGTTATGCAGTTTCGCTAACAAAGCATCAGACTCCCTTGTGCGCTCTTCATCTGACAAGTTCTTGTATTTCTCCTCATGTTTGGTCACGTAGTGGCAATTCAAACTGTAATCCTTGAACACAGCAACCTGTGTACCACAAACTAGGCACACTGCTTTACCTTTGACTTCTGTAAATAAATACTTTCCAGTCCATGTCTTGTTGGAAAAAGGGGCATTTGGTATCAACTTTTCTTTTCTTGGCATGAGCTGACATTTTGTTTACAAGTCAACATTACAGTAAGAGCACACGAGGCTATAAATTCCTTTCCTATAAATTTTCACAACACTCCTACAAACCTGACTTTCTGTGAAAAGAGCTGGCCATCGATGTACAATCTGGCTGACAGCAGGCTTGTTTCTGACAACTTCCTTTCTGCGAAGAGCAAATGTCACATCCATCTCTTAATGAGAGATCAATTTGGCTTTGTCTTTTTCATCTCATGGACCTGATGAGCTCCCTCCAGATTGTGGTCATCCATCCCCTCTGGATAATCAGGCAGGAAATTTATTTCCCCCTTTCTTGGCTTCTTGATGTCTTTGTTGGTAGGGTTGCCACTTGTAGTGTGCCTGACATGTTTACCACCATTGACAGCTAAAGATGGTAGTGTACTTGTCACAGGCTGATCCATTTGGTCCACTTACACATTTACATATGTAAATTTGACAGTTTGTCATAAAACTAGACAGGGAACTGGTGAATTTACAGTAGATTTAATATTCATCTGTTCATGCATACTCTAGTATGCTCTATTTTTTTTTTACTGTAAATCTACAGCAGTGCTCAACTCTGCCCCTCAGTTTTTTGCCTGCGGATCAGAGCAGAGTAAAGTCCTCCTTTGCTCAGCAGTTCCAAGTGCGTCCCAGCCTTAAAAGAAAAGAGGAAGCTGTTAATTAAAGCCCGTATTACACAGAACACTGAGATGGAAGCAACCAATATAGTGTATATGTATGAATTACTGACCCCTGAATGAAATGAACTCGTCAGTGTTTCTTTGAGCTTGCATGGTTGTCTAATAAATTAGCCAAGGCATTTAACAGCAGATAGCATCACCTCTATTTCTCTGAGCACTCTGCTACCTCACCTCCACAATGCGGCCATTGCTCATAACACAGATCAGGTCAGCCCCTTGAATGGTGCTCAGTCGGTGGGCTATGATGAGCACAGTGCGACCCCTTGTGGCCCTGTCCAGAGCCTCCTGCACCACTCGCTCTGATTCGGCATCCAGAGCACTGGTGGCTTCATCCAGCACCAGGATGCTGGGGTTCTTGATCAAGGCGCGGGCAATGGCAATGCGCTGCTTTTGGCCACCAGACAGCATCACACCTCGCTCTCCTGGATTAAGAAATCTAAAGCTTAATATTTAAATGTCCCATTATTTCCTTACAGCAGTGGTTCTCAAAGTGTGGGGCCTCCGCTCGGGCATGCCAGAGAGGGGGAGATACAGCAAGAAAAAAAATAAACCAGAAAAAATACTTGTAAACATCAAACTTCAGCTAGGCTATGTGTGGGACAAAATGGATAGATTTGTAGTACTTCAGTGAGAGAGGAGACAGAGCCTGGGGTGAGCAGAGAATGGCATATGACGAGGATTTTCACAGACCGGTCCTGATGATGCTCCACTGCCACAGTGGTATTTGCAAAGTTGTGCTAGCCAATGACAGTACGAGACCATGTAAACAAGTTTGGTGATCAAGACGGGGGAGTTTTTTTGATAGGAAACTAGAGGATTCACAGTCACAGAACAAAGTAATTGAGACATTAGCACTGTGAATACCGAGGCAACTGAAGCATCACTTAGGCAGGTATATGGAATACACATGATATGGAGTCAGTGATATGAAATGCAGCGCTGTGCATGGTGTGCAGTGATGATATTGTTTGGTGGCAACTGAGTTTGATTATTTAACTTGAGTAAAACTCCAAAAATAGGCCTTACAATTAAGAGCCAAGAAGGTATTTGGGTTTTACACTTGTCACACAGCCACTAATGTTGGTGTGGGTGGGTATGGGTGTGTCACTGGGGCATAGCAGTAGAAGACAGATTAATTAATATCACCTATGCACTGGCTGTTTGGCAGTTTGTTGTGAGAGGGAGAAGAGGTGGGAGCCCTCTTTTCTGTTGGCTGCTATGTTGTGGAGATTTCTATCCAGTTTGCCTATGTTCCACATTATGACTGACTCGTAAGATGATGGTTTGCTTTTTCAGTAAATGACCAAACATAGTTACAGAACGGAGTTTGTTTGTGCGTAAGACAGACCTCCCTGCTCTTCCTCTCAGTGGCTAATTGTTGTTTTAGATAGCTGCTGCAACACAATGTATGATTTTGTTGAACTGAGGCTATTTTAGTAAGGCTGTTGTCTGTTTTCATTTGGTGACTGGATTGTAGATGATTCATTGGTAAACAATGTTTTCACGATCTCCTGTAAGGGGAGGCTCACCTTCCCACACTTTGAAAACCTGTGCTACAGTAGTACAAGTTTAATGAGAGCTCTTACCAACCACAGTGTTATAGCCATCTGGGAAACCTGTAATGAAGTGATGAGCATTGGCTTGCTTGGCTGCATTAATGACCTCAGCATCTGTAGCCTCAGGCTTCCCAAAGCGGATGTTCTCCATGACAGATGATCCAAACAAAACAGGCTCCTGTGGAGAATATTGGGAGACAGAGTGAAAGACAGTTAAACATGTGACTAGTTCATAGTTTTCTTGGGGCACCCCGATAGCCTAATGGTTTACCTGATTGATAAATCCAATAACTTGTCCCCTGAGCCAGGACAGGTCAAGTGTTCGAATGTCAAGTCCATCCAACATGATTACGCCACTGGTTGGGTCATAGAAACGCTCCAACAAGGATGCCACCGTGGACTTTCCTAAAATGTATAAAAATGACAAAAAAATGTATGGGCCCACCAATGCATTGTTTAGAGGCTGCACGTTGCAATCTGAATCATTAACAAAGGAATAACCTCCTCCGGATTCTCCAACAATGGCAATAGTCTTACAAGGTGGTAGCGTCAAGTTGAACCTCTTCAAGATCTGATGGCCAGGTCTTGTCGGATAACTATAAATATGCCAAAAAGAAATAAAAAAATACTTTTCTCTGATGTCTAGATCTGTTTTGAAATCTACTTTTGCTGTGAACTAAAATGAGGCTCCAACCTAAATGAAATGTCCATAAAGTCAACTCTTCCCATCAGAGAATGGTATGGGATGCGTCCACCTCCAGACAGCGGTATGGTCGGCTCCAAACCAAGGTATTCAAAAACCCGAGCCCCAGAGCTTAATCCTCTCACCATCTGTAGCAAATGTTAGACGTTCAGATTTCTACACACAGAGATCATATAGTGCTACATTTTAAACATGTATGTCCCTCAGATAATACATGCTCTAGACCCATATTTAATTTTGATTCACCTGTCCAAAAAGGATAGAGATACTGGCCAAAGATCTGAGCATAAAGAGAATACAGTACATGAGTTATACTCCAACATGAGCTCAATTTAAAGTGGTGCATTTAATTAAAAATGGAAATGCAGAGCAACCATTGTGAAACAAGTGAAGTCTTTACCTCTGAACAGTCTGTGACGCAACCAAGAAAGACATGAGGTCTCCAGGGGACATTTCATTGCTAGAAATTAAAGTCCCCCCAGCAAAAATAGTTCCTAGGACAAGACCTGTATCAATTGGACACAAGACAAAAAAAGAGAAATTCTTATACAGTACAAATCTGCCTCATATTGTGGTCATCAGTTAACACAGCAAAGCACACTCACAGTTCAGGGCAACGTTTGACAGTCCTTGGAAAACAGCTATTCCAGCACCAAGATTTCCATTCATTTCACATGATTTGTCAACTTCATGTGCATATAACCTGGGTAAAAATATTAAGACAAATAAACCATATTACTTAACAAATCTGAGAAACTTTATATGGTGGCTTTATAACAGAGCCGCTAAGATAGAAGAGTTCTGACACTGAGGGGTCAAAAATGGCAGCAGGTCACATGACTCACATGGCTTCAAATAGTTCCAAACAGTTAATTAAGATACATTGTTTTATGTAGGGAACAGTGAGATTGATTAGCAATTACTATTTTTAATGACTTTTACAGCCTTCCAAACTAATTCCATGTTCTCTGTTGTAGATAGCTTAGCTAATTTAGCTAGTTAGCTTATTAAAGCGGCCCAATATTTGAGAGAGATATGTCACTAACTTAAAATGTCACAAGAATAATCATTGCTGTTGATTTCAACAGCTTACTTTGGAAGATAGCAGCCAAGTCAATGCAACTCTATGGCACTGCTCCTCATGTTTGGAACTACTCAAAACTCACATGATCCACCATCACTGTAAAAAAAAAAAAAAAAAGGTCCTTATCGAGTCAATAGAGATGTCATCAGTCTCCTTCTTAATCCATTCTGCTTTACAAGTATATAAACTCTTACTGGAGCTCTCGTTGCTCCATCGCAAAAGCTTTCACTGTACGCACATTGCCAAGCGCCTCATCTGCCACTCCTGTTGCTTTTGCCACCTAAAATTGATCACAGTGTTAAGTAAAGACACAAACACCAAATTAAACTTATTTCATAAGTAGTAGCATAATAGTAATTCCAATAAGTCTGTGCAGTGTAATAACACTCTTACGTATCATGGCAGCGGCGCAATCATTAGTTCTCAAAACTGCAAGCAATTTTAAGAAAACAACTTTCTGTGACTTCTGAGTATTTGTGATTGCTTGTTTTATTGCCATATGCAGTGACATACTGCATATGGCAATAAAGGTACTGTCACAGATGTGTCTTTGTATATCAGACCATAAAGTTATGAGAATCAGAGAGTCAAGAAGAGGTTGTGAAGAAACTTGGCATCTCTGGTAGAAGCAAGAACAGATTTATAATGTGTTAAAAGGAGGTATGTTATAACTGCCATGTTTGTAAAGAGGTCTGTTCTCCTTGCCCATACTGTATGTATTTAGTATTATATCTGTTCTGATCAGATAGCCCTTCATGACATGGCAATGAAACTCCAACTGTAAACAGGACACTGACCAGCATGATAATGCTACATTTGGTCTCACCTGTTCTTGAGCTAAACGGGATAGTTTGCGGAGGAATGAGCCGATGAAAGCTCCTGCTCCCACTAGACAAGGAAGGACAACTACTGTCAAACCTGTGAGTTTGGGGGAGATGAAATAGAGAGAGAGAAAACACCCAACTGTCTGTGTAATACTCCGCAGACCCTGCAAAATGACAAAAAAATAAAAATTAAATAAAAAAAAAGTTGTCTAAAAATAGCATATAGTTTGCATATTACTAATCATCCTACAACTTTTTACCTGAGAGATAACCAGTTTAAAGGATGATTTGAATTCCTGTATGTCAGCAGTCAAACGATTCACCAGCTGCCCAGTTTTATTGGCATCAAAGAAAGTCACATCTTGCCTAAGACAAAAAATAACATCTTAAAAATGTTTTTATATACTGCAGATGTGGTCCATCTTTAAGTTTAACAGTAGATGATTAGTCTGTAAATGCTTCTGTAATGTGTACCTCAGTAAAGATGCAAAAAGGGTCTTTCTCATGTCTGCTGCAACTCTCTCCCCCATCCTAGAAAGCAGGATAATGTAGCCAGTTGTCAGCAGGCCCTGCACAAAGGTGGTGATTAATGACCAGTGCAACAGGCCATTTTCTAGAAAGCAGCCATGACAAACACAGCTTTAAGCATCTCAACTTTCTCAAACAATGACATCTGCAAGCCATAAACGAACAAGTTGGATCATTTAAAGACTCAATATCATGTAATCCAACAAAACACACTAATTGCATACTACATGTTTTAATGGTACATGTAGCACAAAATAAAACCCCTGACTGGGCAGTCATCATTATATACAGTATAGGTACATTTGACAGCAGGAAAACAACAGTATAATGTACAGTATATTAAAACTGCATATGTTCATGACTGCTTTATTGTTAAGGAAAGACACCGCTGTATAAAGTTGTTGGAGCACTGGCACAGAAAGTTGTGCAACTGCTTTTTAACACTGGCGTTTTTCTTGTGTACTTACTTGGATACCGTACAGCCCAAGTAGTTTCATTGCAGGGCCCCTTATCTCATGGACATAGTTCCCTGTATTTTCTCTCAAGAAACGTGCCACAACATTTACCAGATCTCCAAGCATCAGGGGAATTTGAATATTCAAGATAGCTGCACCAAAAGCAAGCTGAAAAGAAAAATCCTCAGTTTAGTTGATCAGCATCTATGATATTATTAAGCATATGTCAGTTCAGATTTGATTTTAGAAACACAGAATTTACATTTAATTAACTGATCAAAATTTACCACAATGGCCCCGATGAGAGCAAAGAGCTGAGGTCTGACAAATTCCCACAAAATGTGCCACTGGAACTCAGGCACATGATTTTTGGCAACAACTTCCACTGAGGTGTTGTTATTTACATCTGCCTCACAGTGAGCTACATGGCAAAACAGCCGTGTAGAAACAGTGAGTAGTGATGGTCCCAGGATGAACCTGAGAGCCACTCCTTGGGGTTTGGATGTCTGAACAGCAGACTGGCGGATAGCTCTCTGAGTGAGGCTCCAAATATGACTGACAGTATTTCCAGGGAGCTGTGAGGAGTTGTATGCATTAGATCCTGGAGATGTATACCACCTGGATATTAAAAAAGTATGTTAATGCAGTTATGTATTCAACAACCTAAGTCTTTAAAGTTTGTCAAAGCAAATGCAACAAAAACAATGCTTCTAAGAGCTCTACAGGTATCACTTCCACTCGGGTTTTAAGCTTACACAGTTTAAATATATCTGAATCAGGTCTGCAAACATTAAAGGAAAGCAGCTATGTCAAGATGTAGCTACTGTCTATAAAATATATGTAGGCAAAGCTTGTCAATATTGGTTAACTAACGTGGATAACAGACACCGCTCAGCTGTCTTTAGCCAGTTAGCTACCGGTCACATTACCCTACCGTGAAAGTTTCCGTATGTCTGCTGTTTTATGGCATCGCAGGTGTAACGATAATGAACGCACTGGAGCAATAATGCTTGCTGTGTTGCAGAGTAACTGAAACATGTTTTTCGCTTATTTATGTTATAACAAGCTCATGAAGTTAAAACAATGGCTAAGCTCTGCAGTAACCCACAGGCTGCAACCTGGTGGCTGCCATTTTGACCCTGACCCAGAATGCATTTCTTCGTCCAAACAGGGCTTCATCTTTACTGTGAACATTGGTTTGTGACAGCACACTGCTATTTTATTTACAACAGGTGTGACGTTACTGATGAGCTTTAAGCATTTTGTGCAACACTTTTAAACAAAGACACAACAAATTAAGACTTTCCTCAGGAAAACTTCAGGAAACTACAACCGGTACCCGGAAATGACGACAGTACCCGAAGCGACGTGACCGAGGTTTTGTTGACATTTGTTTGTGAAAGACAAAAACAGTGAACACAAACAGGATGGTGTATTTTTGGAAACCAACTAACAGACCTCGGAAAAGACAGAAGTCCGTGGTATTGTGATTAAAACGTAGCCGTGTGTATTAAACGAGTTCTGGTTAAGATTAGACTCAAAAGCAAATAAGAAAGAAAATCAAGATCAGCAGAGGAACAGACCAAGTCGGGAACAAAACAAACCGCGTCACCCTGACTACACGAGTGGCTGAATCATTGACAGGCTAACCATCTACCACACAGGTGACTTAACGTTAGGTCTTATATGCTAGCATTTTGCGTTCATTAATTATTTACATAATATTTGCCTATTTATTTTAAACTGCTTCTTAACAAGCATTTTACCTGTCGTCATGGTAGTGCAGGATTAGACAGCCGCTGTCCGACAGACTAGCAAGTTAGCAAGCTAATGTTAGCTGTAACGTTAGCTAACGTTACCTTCACTTGAACATCTAAGCACCTAGCTACAGAATGTAGCCAGTACCGCGAGACTCTCCGCTGTATTCGTGTTGACTAACGTTACAAGTAGCCCGTCAGTTGGAAGTGACCTTAAGGATGTGAAGCACAATGGCCAACTTTGAAGCTTATCAGGAATATCAGAGAATTGAGGATTTCGAGGAGGACTCGCCACCAGGGGAGGAAGACTTACTGGTGCATGTGCCCGAAGGCCTGAAAGGTAACCATATCATTATGACTAAATAAAGTATAAAAGGTCTTTAATATAATTGGTCAGAGTCTCGTACCTGATAAATTCGTAGATAGTCTGGAAAAGTGTTAACTGGGTTAAAATTGATTAGCGTTTCTAGCTATATAATTCCTTACATTTCTGTTACAGACTCATGGCACCATATCAAGAACCTGGATAACTTCTTCACAAGGATATCCTTTAAATTACAGTGTATCTAAATAACAGGTCTACCAGAATCTAGTGCCATTGTGTCACTGGCATAATGTCATGCTGACACACAGACTGGTCAGATGCTCCTCGGTATTACTGTGTTAACTTCTTGATTGCCACACAGTGTAACTATATGAAGCAATGGAAACTGAATTTTCTCCAAAATCTTTGTTTGATGATTGCTATAATTGTGATGTCTTGTTTTGTCCCAAAGATTGTCTTGCATCATAATCAATGTACTTTCAGTGACAGACCAAGCATGTTTTAACCAGATTTTTCTTAACCATCCTGTCCACATCTATCATTTTCATCAGAAAAATGGCTTTGCTTGTATGATGTTGTCAGAGTTCTTTGAACTTGTGTAAGTATTAAAAAGTATAGAGTTTATATATCTAAGAATATAGCATAACATAAAAGAATATTGTGTTTAATGAAGTACAGGGACATGCTTTCTATTAAGAGTATAGGGCTGAGTTGAGGTTTGCAGTTCCAGCAAGATACTTGTTTTCAGTATCACACAGCCTTCATTTATCACGGATCATTTTTCATGTCGTGACTGTAAAGTGTGCCTCAGGCTTCAGTATGAAGAAGCGCAACAGCAGGTGCACATGGATTTCACATGTAAAACCATTTTTCCCCAAGTAAATCCTATAACTAAACTCTGAGGATTTTTCTATTGTAGTATTTTTTATTAACTTTATTGACTGTATTTTAGTTCATTTTGGACTATTATGTCAGTGCAGCATATTGTTTATTTTGCTGCCCTGCCACTTCAGATCATTTTTATCTGCTGCTTGGCCAGTTGGCCATTATTTGGCCCTGCTTTGATGTTTGAATCTGGCCACAGTGGGCTTATTAATATGGGGCCCTTAAACCATTAGCTTGTGAAAAGCTATCCACATAATGACAGTGCAAAACAAACCTCAGCTTGTCAACATATTTAATAACTTCGACTGATATATTGTAACAGCACTAATATAAATGAATCACTTGTCAGTATGCAGAGTGTGCTGCCTGTGGTTGGATGGTTAGAAATAGGTTTTTCTAGTGTTTTATTGTCATAAAGAATGAAATCTAATCCCTTTTTTCTTTTATCCATCTCAACCTAACAGTCAGTTTTTGTTTGTTGTCACATTCACGACGTTCCTTGTCAACTGTGTGGAGTATGATGTCCTGTTTGCCAATCAAGCAGTCAATCACACCGGAACAGGCCAGAATCCCTTGGACAGGAACAAAGTCACTCTTCCCGATGCCATCTTACCTAGCCAGCAGTGCACTCGGAGGTATTTGTGTTTAATAGAATATTATGGAGAGCTTTAGTGTGTGAAAATGTATATTTTCAGTGGTATGACAGTAATCAGACTTTTACACTTGATTTCTTATTGCCTGGTGTCAGATGTGGCTTTCAGTTACAGTCACATTCACAGGGTAGCACTATAGAACAGTAGCCTATTTAACTGTACCCTGTAGGTTCCTTGATTTACCTTGGAAAATTGTGAAAACCTGTCAGCACTCTAAAGCTGAGACTTAAGCAGTGACATTACCCTGTATGATATCATGAATAGCCAGCCAGTTATTGATTGATTTTATTCTTAAGAATTTGTCCAAAAAGATGCAACTTTACCACATCAGGCATTTGACAGTGAAGCAACGAATTTTATTTTTTTTTGTCATATTTTGCATTATCTTTTTGAAAACATCTTCCAAATGAATGTTATTGAGACTCTTAATGCCAGTGGTAGAAACAGGACAGCTAGCTTTTAAAGTTTGTGTTTGATTTAAAACAGTTCAATAATTAACAAAGTTTCTAATTATATTTTGTTCATCAGCCAGATGTTTTTTAGTCTAATATAATTTAGAGGTAATGTTAGTGTTTATTAAATGTATTTCTTACTCAGTTTTGCTGTTTATTTAAACTTGAGATTGATAGCTTCAAGTTGCAACATTCCTGTAACTGATGGCTGCTTGCAGGAAGGTATTTGTGTACTGTGTTCAGACTGGATCAGGGCAATGTAATTGATAGCTTCAGTGAGGTAAAACTGGCCAGCTGCTGCACTGACAACATGGCTGGGCCAGCAAACTGACAACCACATGACACTGCCTTGCTTTAATGGAACAGAACATCTGACCTCCTTCACCCTGTGTTGTCATATTATTTGTCTCATGATCTAGTCTATACTTTGATAGGTTTCCTCAGCTGTTCTAATAAGACTCATCAGTTTAATCCTCATTCTGACTGTGGCTCAAAAAGTCATTTATATCTATGGCAATGAATGCTTGGAATTATACTTTGAGAATAGCTTGTTCTGCAGTTTGTCACCTTTCTGTCCTCCTCATACCCTGTCTCAAATTTCTCTTTTAAAAGCAGGTGGTTGTCCCAAGTATATTCTGCTATTTTGTTTGTCTGAAAATGACCTTTGTATAAAATTATATAAAAAGCACATAATGAAGCATCAGAATGCTCAGGTGTTGTCTGATGTGTGTTTGTAAGTATAGTTTACTGATGCACAGTATGAATGTTAACCTTTTTTTAATATGCTTTTCTTTACTGGCAATGTTTGAACTGTCTCTGTTTCTATTTAGGATTAAAGAAAACAGCTGGATTATATTTCTTCTCATCATGGCAGCCATTTTCTGGATCTATCGACTTGTGAAGGTCTTCTGCAATGTTCTGAGCTATTGGGAAATCAGGCAGTTCTACATCAAAGCACTGAAGATCGGAATGGTAAGTGCTTCACTTGGAGGCCTTTAACAAAATGTGCTACAGTAAAAGGTCACCCAGATCTAGCTTGTGACAGATGTCTTGTACTGCTGTTATTGTATGATGATGCTATGATGAGTGTCACAGATCTGAGTTGTGGTGTTATGCATTGCCTGTATTTTGTACTCCTTGCCTTCTTGTCCAGGATGAACTATGCAACTTCACATGGCAGGAGGTCCAGGACCGACTCATCAGCCTGCAGCGAGAACAGCAAATGTGCATACACAAGAAAGAGCTGACAGAACTCGACATCTATCACCGCATCCTGCGCTTCAAGAACTACATGGTGGCCATGATAAACAAATCACTGCTGCCAGTACAGCTACACTTCCCCCTGCTGGGCAATGTGGTGTTCCTCACCCAGGGCCTCAAGTACAACTTTGAGCTCATCCTCTTTTGGGGTCCTGGCTCTCTGTTTCAGAATAAGTGGAACCTGCACCCCAAGTACAAGCGCAGTGGGAACCGCCTAGAGCTTGCCCAGCAGCTTAGTAGAGTCATCCTCCTGATGGGTTTAGCCAATTTGCTGCTGTGCCCCTTCATCCTAGTGTGGCAGGTACTCTATGCTTTTTTTAGCTATACAGAAGTGATCCGCAGAGAACCTGGAAGCCTGGGTGCACGACGCTGGTCCCTGTATGGTCGTCTCTACCTGCGACACTTCAATGAGCTGGACCATGAGCTGTATGGGCGTTTAGGTCGTGCCTACAAACCCACTTCCAAATACATGAACTCCTTTACATCACCACTGCTGACTGTGCTTGCAAAGAACATTGCGTTCTTCTCAGGCTCAGTGTTGGCTGTTCTCATTGCACTGACAGTATATGATGAGGACGTTCTCACAGTGCAGCACATTCTGACTGCAATCACTGTGCTGGGGGTAGTTATTACCATTGCTAGGTGAGTAGTGAGTTGTTTTTTTCTGAACCCTTTACAGGACCACTCCCCTTAGGTTGTCAGTACAGTTTTATTCTTTGTTTTACCATATCATAATGCAGTACATACATTTATATGTTGTTATATAACATATATTTTTTTATTAAAAACTCTAAGTCTACCTTACATGTACAGGTATTGTTGGGTGGTACATTGTTCACATTTTATACCTGTCCTACACCAGGTCATTCATCCCAGATGAGCATATGGTGTGGTGTCCAGAACAGCTGCTGCAGTGCATGCTGGCACACATTCACTACATGCCAGATCACTGGAGGGGCAATGCTAACAAGAGCGAGACCCGTGACGAGGTGGCGCAGCTGCTCCAGTACAAAGCGGTGAGGGAGGCAGAAACACGGAGAACACATTTGTCACACTCAGACTGAAGTTATGGATATGTTTGGGCTATGATCTTTTGATGTGCTTTCCATGTAGCACTTGGTCAGTGCTAAGACTTTTAGATTGGGCATAGTCAAATAGCTGTGAACAAGAATCATTTGAGGCAGTGATGGAGAGGAGGACATTGAACAAGCTGTTATCAATTATGGATAACCCTGACCATCCTCTCCGATTTGTGCTAGATAGACAGCGGAGCTCCTTCTCTAAAAGATTTAGACAGCTTCGTTGCCGTAAAGCACGTTATAGGAAATCTTTCCTGCCTTACTCCATTAATTTGTACAACACATCATCTTGGAGCATTAGACGATTCCTGGATTGAGAGTAATTGTTTACTGAATCAGCTTTGTATATATTTGCATATGTTTCATTCATCATGTGATTATGTATATGTACTTGATTGTGTTGGGTTTGTTTTTAACTTTTTAACGTATTTTATATTTTGTTTTATATTTTTATATTTTTAGTGAGTTATCTATTTTATTTATTGGTATGTGTGCTTGATATTGAGTGTGAACCGCTGCTGAAACAATGCAATTTCCCAGATTGGGATTAATAAAGTATTTCTATCTATCTATCTATAGTAAAATCAGTGGATTTACTGATGCATTTTTGAGAATGCTGATCTGCATTTGACTATATTTTGAAAACAATTAGGGTTGCAGCGGTATCGTGGTTTCACGATATACCATGGTATGGAAATTGATGGTTATCATATCATGCATATTTGCTTATTACTGGTATTAAAAAAAAAACACACACCTTTCCTTCCTGACTGCACTTGGATAGAAAATAGCTGAAAAGAGCTCCACCTCAACCAACTACAACAGTCAGGTCCTGCTTTTACATCAGTGCATGAGTGATAGACTGTTAAATACAAACATATAGTATAGGATATACAGTATAACATTTTTCTTCATTGAGTGGCCTGCTTCCACTTTTAATACTTTAAGTGCAACCATTGCAACCCTAAATGCAACTATATTTAGAATTTGAGAACTTATAATAATAATAAATGTTGTCCCAATATTGTTGTTCAAATCAGGTTTTTATCCTAGAGGAGTTGCTCAGTCCTATCGTCACACCCTTCATTCTCATCTTCCTCCTGAGAAACAAGTCTCTAGAGATAATTGACTTCTTCAGGAACTTTACTGTGGAGGTGGTTGGAGTTGGAGACATATGCTCCTTTGCACAAATGGACATTAGACGCCATGGAAACCCAACAGTAAGTGTATTGTTCTTTCTGTATATGCCAGTCTGTTCAGTAGCTTTTTGAAATTAAAGAGAAGACCTATAATAAGCTGATGTCTCAGTGAATGCTGTGATGATGATGTTTTTTGAATTTATATGGGTTGGATATTTCTGCAGTGGCTGTCAGAGGGCCAAACAGAGGCTTCTGTGTACCAGCAGGCTGAGAACGGCAAGACAGAGTTGTCCCTCATGCATTTCACCATTAAGAATCCACGCTGGCAGCCACCACAGGAGAGCTCAGTGTTTATCAGCCATTTAAAAGAGAAGGTGCAGCATGATGCACAGGGCGGCCCCTCCACCCAACTGTTGCTCTCTGAGGCTCCTCTCTGCACTTCACTGCAGTCTAATGAGTCTGCCACTGGGGTAAGAAACCCTGAAGATCATGCTGTTCACACAAGAACCATGAACCATGCATTTCATTAAAAATTTGTCCTGTTTTCTGGATTGTCTTAAATTATTGGAGAGTTTATTTAGACAGAGAGCCGTTGAAAAAACCGTTAAACAACTGTAGTTGTTAAGAATAATCATTCATTCCCACAGGACATTTAAGTACTTCATAAAATGTTTTTCTCTGTACACTATTAATTTATAAACTACTAGAGTATTTATTTAATTACTGATTATAATTTCAATAATAATATTTTCAACTCTAATGCAGATTAATTTATCTAATGGCCCCGGTGTGTTTTGCTTTTTCAAGCCTGATAATTTGTTGGCCAGTGTCTTGGCCCATCCCATTCTAACTGCATCTGGACTACAAGGGCGAGAACATCGCTTCATCCCACCAAGCACTGCTGCTTCTGCTGCTGCCAGCGTCCTGGCTTCATTGTCCACCTCCCAGCTTGCACCTACCAGCCGTGGCCACTCGCATGGTCTCCTGCCCTCCTCCATCCACCCTGAGAGCACCATGTACCGCAGTGATCGCACCATCATTGACAGGTATCTATCGGCCATTGTATTTAATATATATAGTAAATACTGTAGTCATACGCTTTGATTAACACCTTTCTTTTTCAGTATGTCTAACAGTGACTCTCGCATCCGGAGTAATGCACTGCACTCAGAGTTTGCCTCTGCGGAGATGAGCCTCCATGCCATCTACATGCACGAGGTAATTTCTTTACCATGAACTGTAGCCTCCAGGAAATACTGTTGACTGTGTTTTGTGTGTGTGTAGGTTTAAAATCACACGCTAGAAAAATCTACATTATCTTTTGAGTATCAGTTTTATGGTGAGGAACTGCATCAAATTCATCCACTTTCAAGTCCATGGTTGATGAATATTTGATAATCAGAAGACAGAGTTTTGCTGGAGAGCCACTTTCAGTAACCCTTGTAGACCTTTAGTGGAGTGCTCTGTTCTGCTGTACAATGACAACTGCTTGTTTCTCCAGCTCCACCAGCAGAGCTCCCACCCACAGAGAACTTCAGGGCAGTGGCAGAATGCAGTGCCAATGAGAGATATGCGAACAAACACTGGTAAATGAAAATACTGATTTTGAACGTAGGTATAAGGAAAAGATTAATAGTTTACAATTCTCTTGAGGAGACTTGAGCCACATTTACTAATGTAATTCATGTTTTTGGTATAAGCATCAACTAAAATTACTCACTGTAGTGTAATAGGAACTTAAAGGATAATGGCTTTAGATTAGATTAGAATATATTTTAGAAGCAGCCATGACATGGTAATGCTGTACACAACCAAAACCTGTAACATAACTGTGATAACAATAAAAGCACATATGAGGTTCACTGTGACTTTCAGAAGTTTGCAGTTAATTTTTTCTATGCCTTTTGTATTAACTAGACAATCCCACTTTGTTTTAACATGCTTATCAGGCTTCCAGGCTCATAGCGGCCTTGGTTCCAGCATGTCCACTCCTGTCCACCTCGGCGGGTGGAGAGAAGAGGAAGAGGGGGAGGGTGAAGATGAGCAGAAGATCAACAGTGGATCTACTCCAAAGCAGGGCACAGGGAGTAGTAGCTGAAGTGCCTTATATCATAAGGTGTATTCTCATCTCTCTTTAAACTCTAAGATGACACTTGTCCATGGTCTATGCTTTGTGGTCCTGTATTTTGTGACATACTTGTTTGTATCCTACAATGGATACATTGACATGATAACTTCTCTTCTTTGTTTTTTAGTGTTTACATTTTATTTTCTTCGCTGAACATTGTGGCCTTAGATGATCTTCATGAAGAATTTAGCATGGACCTTTAAAACATCATTCAGCATTTGTTGTTGGTGAGGGTAATTGAATAACCACAGTCTCTGCACCCTCATGCCTCATCTTGTCACATCAGGCAGACTATAGCATCAGGGACACCATACTTCTTCCATCTGCTTAATCACCATTTTGTCATAAACTTACATATGCGTATAAAGCTTGTATGACCAAGAGACAATAGAGTGTATTCATAGATCACTGGGTGACAGTCAGCATCTGGGCAATTCTGCTGAGCCTGCATGTGCACAGTTCAAGTACTGTATGTGTGCATCACAAGGTGCTGCAGTGCAAGTCTAATTGAGTTTTTTCACAGAATAGTGTGATCTGTGCTACAAAGACTGCAAGCTGTATCTGATTACCTGTGATGTTTCATGTTGTGCTGTTTGACCCTGGTGATTTGTAAATACACTTTTGCATCTGATACTTTGAAAGTCACAGTTGTTACTACCAAAACTAATCCTTAAAAAATATATACCAAGTATTGATATGATAAAGTTAACTGCACAGTAGCCGTACTACTACAAAGCAATGCGTACCTGGCAAAAGCCTATTGGGTTTCATTAAATGTAAGCACATGTGCTGATGTTGCTGCCTCTGTTCAGTGGTCCCAAACACAGATTGTGTATTAATATTTCTACAGATGATGTATCAAGATTTTGCTTTTTCTTAAAAACAGGATTGAAATTATGGCCCAAATACATTTAACATCAAAATCTCAATGCAGATAGAAGATGTCCTCTTAATTCTCTCTAGGCTGGACACGAAGTCAGCTTTATGCCTTAACTCCCTTATTAACATAATGTATTTAAATCCTAGGTTTCTCTATTACCTCAGTGGTGGTGAAGAAAAACTAATACTCCAATACCTCTGCAGTGTATTTACTAGTGTATATTTATAGGTTGGTTTTTTTTTTGTTTTGTTTTGCAGTGCATGGTTATCTCTTGCTCAGCAGATGTTGATCAGGAATTGATATCCCCGGAGTGATGTGGAGGAAAACATATTTTCAGTGTAAGAGCATGAAGAGACAAAAGCCTTTCCAGAGTGAGCACCACTTTTTAGTTTTAGGAGTATTTATTACTTGGTTTCCCACAGATATTTAATTGATGTGTATATATATGTATTATTTATTTGAAAAACATTTGATTTATGATAATCTCATTAATAAAAGAAATGGCGTCCCCCTCCTCATAGCCCACTAAAACTAGTTTCAAGAACAATTTATGATTTTTGAATTTTTTTTTTTTTATTGCAAAAAACTTCAAAGCTGCATGATGTTGAATGTGATTGACACTTAAAATAACCTGGTTCTAAACCTGCTTGTTGATTCAGTGAAATATCTAGCTAGCCACTTTTGAAACAGACCACACTAATATAGATCTCATCCTCCGCTACTGCAAGACTTTAGAGAGTACAAATGTGCTTTGTCCTCTGTATTTAGAAATGCCGGGTGTGTGTATCTGTGGAACAGATGCCTGACACTTGCATAATTATGCTAACATGAATTCAGAATTTTGCACTGACGGAAAAGAACATTTTTTTTAAAGTGTGTGTATAAACTGTATATACAGTACTTGCATCAGTTTCACTGAAAAGGACACTGAATCAGTTTCCATCCTAACTGACCTCTTTTCAGTTTTTGTATATAAGCGTAGCATCAAAACATACTGTATTGTTACTGTCCACAGCAGACATCAGGAAACACTGTGGCCATTCACATATGATTGCTCTTACCTCTGGTCTGTTCACCCTGTAGGGGGTGATGTGTGTTTCTACCCCACTCTTTAGCGTGCTTACCTGAGTTTTGTTGTCACTGTTCGTTTGGTACATCTTACAAATGGCTATGAGTTTATGTCAGAGAGATACAGGAGCTCGGCTTTGAGCGCAGTCTCTCACATTTACACCCCACTGTTGTGTTTGTCATTTTATTTTAAGCAGTGCCTTAGTTTTAAGGATTATTTGCTGTTTTTAAGAAGCCACTTCATGTAAACCATCTGATTTATTTTCACAGTTTTAGCAGCACATACTATGTTCAGTATTTTTGTTTGGCAAGTCATTGTGTATAGCATCAAATACGTAGTGAAACCGTGTATTGTAAGATGAGTTACAAACTGACGTTGTGTCAGTCTTGCACTGTATTGAAAATCTTAAAGAAGCAGGAGTATGCCTTGTAATAGGTGGTGTCATCATGGCCAATCCTCTCATCATACAATGGTTTCTTATCCACTGTACACCAGTCTGAGAATCACAGTGACTGGTACAAGGTGCTAAGTTTTCACCCTTAAGTGTTGAATATGTTTAAATGTGCGTGTGTGTTTTTCTTACATAGACGTGTCTGTTTTGTTCTGTAAATTAAGAAACACTAGCTGAAAAGTGAAACATGCCAAAAGACCTTGTTTTCAGCACTGCTTTACAATATGTGTTGTTTTCTGTGAGTGGGTAGAGAGAAAAATAAATATTATTTTGAGTGTATTTAACCATTTTCCCGTGTGGTTAATTTTGTGATGTTTGTTTTAAATTTAAAACAAATTTTCTGTCGGTTTTATAATACTGTTTGTATTGATTTACCTACTAATGCTAAGTTGTTGCAAGTGATCACCCTTATCCTGTGATGAAACATTTCTATCCTGATGAGAGTGACCTCTTCTAGGATAACATTCATAGGGCACAAGGGATCACTGAATATCTTTTGGAAGAACGGAGTCAATCCCTCCAGTAGAGTTCAGAGACTGAAGCTGTCCTGGTGGAACATGGTGTCCTTACTAAGACACTTGGTTTTTTTTTTTTCTTTATCTTGTCTGCATGTGACACTGTTATTCTGGTCTTGATGGTGGCCTTTTTTAAACTAAAGAGGCAAACTTTTATCTTCTAACATTCATTAAAAGATTTTTAGCATGGCTCAATATCACTTGGTCTGTTGTGTGTGTGTGTGTGTGTGTGTGTAGCAGCATTAACAGTGTGACATCTAGTAGATGTTATATGAACTGTATGTGCATGCTAAATAACATTTTTTTTTGCATTAGCTTATCTTTTTTTCTCTGTTTCATTTTGTTTAAGTCCCCTTAGAACATTTTAAGCACATCTATGCCATCTGCTGTTCAATATTAGGTATCTGCTGGGTGCCAATGACATTTGTCTCACTTGTCATCTGCTATGTAAATGTTCTTTTTGAGGTAACAAGGTAACACCCATGTGTTTCAGCTGTGAACATGATACACCCATGGCCTAATTCTTGAAATACCTGAGAGAGGTCAGCTGAAATGCAGTGTAAGTCAGTTGTTAAAGACTATACATTACTTACATTTTGTGAAAATTGTCTCATCACATAGAAATGTTCTATTTGGGATTTCATCCAACTCCATATTTGCTAAGCCAGAGGCTGTATGCCAGTTTACTTCCCTCTACTCTACTGTGCCCTAGCTGCTATGAAAGGAAAGATTATCAAAGGTTAATGAAATACCATCCATGTGATTTGATGCAATAAGTGTTTGTGCATCAAGAACTGTAAAGAGCAGAAGAAGGGGGAGATAGAGACAGATACTCAAAAGAGTTATCTATTCATTTCTTGTAATTTTTCTTTTTCTCTATATACTTTCAACCAAACACAGTAGCCAGAATAGGATGAAGTAGGTGCAACCAGTAACAGTGGATTAATGTCTGCTAGAGTTTCAGGCAGTTTAAATCAGGGTCCAGGCGACCTGCTGCTGTCAGTCATTGGCACTGGGGAAAAGTCCACACGGGAAGAGACCAAGAAAACAGAATAGGGAAGAAAGAGCAAAACCTATATGTGGAAGATATGGTCCACTTGAAGAGGAAGGTTACTCAGAAAATGAACAGTCACACTGAAGAAATAATCAGTGAGCAAAAAGGCAAAAGGCTATAACCACAAATATTTCATTGTTTTTATTTAGATAAAGCGTTTTGACAAACAGTTTGCCAGTGCACACTGGTTGGTCCACCCAAAACAGAAAAGGCCTGAAAATAAAAATGTACTTTAAAGGTACACTGACAGTCTGATTTGAGGAGTGGTATAACTTCTTCTCTGTGACTTGGCATTAATTCTAGTGTAGCTGAAGTAGAAGCCTTCCTTACACCTGAAAAAGTGCACCAAAAATATTCAACTCAGAATCAGAATCAGCTTTATTGACCAGGTGTGTTGGACACACGAGGAGTTTGACTGGTACAGTGGCTCTCAATGTGTACATATGTATCAACTCCACCTGTATTCTAAGATACAACTGTGCTGAAATTGGTAACTTCGTGGTAGGGATAAAACTCTTTAACTGCTTCGCGCAGTGACTGTGTTCCTGTTGTTGGGCAAGAACTGCCATGCACAAGTGAACTTCACACCCAGCCACTTCACATTTAAAAATGGCTCATCCCCAAGCTCATCTTTCTCTAAAACTTGATCCAAAAGATCAAGTGGCAAGAGATTAATTTGTGGTTCATAAAGCTTTACATACAAAAAAAGTTCAAAAGCACAAATGAAGCAATTAGACCTTAAAAACAAGAGTAGAAATAAAAACATAAAAGACAGATAGGATGGAAATCACATTCCATAGGCCTAAACGACAGGATTATGACCATTATATTTGACTTATTATATGACCAGTTACATATAGCCTAATAGTGTTGCTACTGTAAGTTTCCACTAGGTGAAAAACATTTGAATAGTAATACTGAGTAGGGTATTATAAACTGTCTGCAGCAGTGTGCAGCCCAACAGAGACCAGTTCAGTCTCCCCAACTTCACCAGGCCATCTCCTACCTCCACAGTCTATTTTGGAGAGGAGGCTGCGCCAAAGTAGGCACGTCAGCTATTTGGCATCATGAGGTAACGGAGAAGAAAGAAAAACTAAGTCTAGTCAAGCGCCCACCGCAGGAGACTGGGGGATATTCCACCATCCTGGATTTACCGCTGTTTCAAGGATATCTGAGCATAAAGAAGACATTTTGACATTCTCGCACTGATAGTGGAGCAGGATATCATCCGGGAATCTTACGGCCAGCTGGTGTTTAGACCTACATGATTTTTACCTGAGTGGCTGAAGACGCAAGGTGAAAAAGTAATACTAGGCCAAATGTATAACAGCACTTAATGTTACGTTAATAATTATAGGCAGAAAGCTACATAACTAGGCCTAAACCTTCACACCTGAAATGGTTTACCGTCTTAATTGCTGCCTTGACACAGCTTCCAGTTTCGGTTAAGATCAAGTTGTTTGTAATTATAAGCTTGGGTGCGCCAATTTTCACAGATTTACAAACCGCAAAATTAAGTTCAAGTATAATTTTAAAGGTGTTTTCTTTAGAATTAATACACAGAGAAATGTTTTTGAAGTGGGAGCTTTATCAAACAGCTGATATCCCTTTCGCTTCTACAAATGGCAGTGGACAGAGACAGGGCCTGACAGCTGAGGTTATTTTTGGAACAGGCGGTTCAGTCGACAGGGGTGATAAAATAGGCGAATGTCACTCACTGAAAGGCACTTATATGCTCTATTTGACCTTGTTACAGGAGAATCTGTTTGTTGTTGTTTTGTTAAACCAGCTTCCTGTTGTCTGCATGGGAAGTTAAGTAATGAGTGTCTTAAGAGCCAGGACGGGTGTGTCGACTGATACTGTTAAAGCTATAAATATGCCAGTCTGATCTGTGGATATATGTCTATTTTCATAACAAAACTTATTTATAGAGTACAGATAGCAAACTGGTATATGTCACTATGGTTTTGGGTGCATTTAACAGAATTTATTTGTGTTTGGTTAGGAGGTGACTCACAACTTCTTATTGTTCTTCCTGATGTTATTAAATGCAATTGCAACACTGACATTTCAACTGTACCCAAATTAGTATTTGAAAAACCGTCTAATTAGCCAGTAGCATACAGCATTATTTTGTTGCCAGCTATGAGAAAAGGTTGGATTTGACAAATGTTATGTCTTGTAATTCCTTGCCTTTTATTATGTTGTAAATATAGGGACAAACAATGGATCAAAACTTGTTTGGAGGAGTCCCCAGGTTTCTCACTCGTCCAAAGGCATTCTCCGTTTATGCAGGCAAAGAAGCCACACTCAGCTGCACTATTGTAGGTAGCCCAACCCCACTGATCACCTGGGAGAAGGGCAAGCTCAAGCTGACATCCGGGGGCCGCTTCAAGACGGTGGAGGATGGAGATGTGTACCGCCTGACCATCTATGACTTAACACTGGAGGATAGTGGACAGTATATGTGCCGGGCCAAAAACAGTGTTGGGGAAGCTTATGCAGCTGTGACACTTAAAGTGGCCCTGCCAGCAGATATAGGTCAGAAGGCCCCTGTTTTTATGGTGAAGCCTTCCTCTACACGTGTATGTTTGGGAGGTGATGTTGCTTTCCACTGCCGGGTTGCAGCTTACCCAGAGGCCAACTTCGACTGGGAGAAGGATGGGCGCTATTTGGGGGAGACAAACCGCATCAAAATTGTTTCTGATAGTGACAGCAGCACCTTAAAGATTCAGACTGTACGTAAACTGGATAGCGGCACCTACACCTGCAAGGCCCAGAACACTGCTGGCCGTGCACAAGCTGCAGCAGCTCTGGTTGTAGAAGCTCAGGATTCCCACCACTTGGCTGCAGATAAGAGCACCTCCCTCCTCTCTCAGCTACAAAAGCGCAAAGAGGAAATGAAGAAGGACATCTCTGTCTATCGCACAGAAGAAAGCAGTTCATCAATTGTTTCTTCTTCCTCAGCCAAGACCACAGATGGTTTGAGTCTGGAACACGAGCTCAGGGTGTCTGCGCTGGCAAAGCTGCCAAAAGGTGTGTTCACCCGTACCTGCACAGTGACTGAGGGCAAACATGCAAAACTCAGCTGCTTTGTGACGGGCCATCCTAAACCGCACACTATCTGGAGAAAGGATGGGACAAACATCAGCGAGGGCCGTAGGCACATGATTTATGAGGACCAAGCCGAGAACTTCATCCTCAAGATCCTGTACTGCAAGCAGAGTGATAATGGTCTCTACACCTGCAACGCAACCAATCTGGTTGGGCAAATGTACAGTGCTGTGTTGGTCACAGTCAAAGGTAAGCCTTTAATGTGACCAAATCCTAAGAACAATGATACATCCAGTGAAAGGACACCACCTTTACCAACATTTATTTTTATAAACCACATTTGAAATAATCTCAGTGAAGTGGGCTGCATTGTCTATCAGCACATATGCTATCATAGAGTCTAGACACCTTCATGCCCAAAACATTTACAGGGGTTAAAGGATAAGGTTGGCTTTATTCTATATTTTGTAATGTAAACAAATCCCATGAAAAGCCTAAAACAACACACCGTCTTTCTGTGGCACTCAGGCCCTAGGCCCACTCACTCTTACTGAAGATGTGACTCTTAAGTACAAGTTACAAATGCACAGTTTTACTTTTAAAGAGCTGAGTAATGTCTTAACAACCTGTATAAATCTACAACTCAACAGCTTCATCCCTTGGTTCAGTTTCTTCCCCAGAGTGGATATAGCAGTGGTGCCAAAGTGCTCCTAAGTGAGTGACCATCTTAGCAACTGTGAACTACTCACTGGCAGAAAATAGATGCAACACAACACCTTCCTTCAGAGGATGAGCCAAAATTCAACATTACTGTGAAACACTACACACATTTTGAGGTTAAATGAAGTACAGTGACTTGGACAACACGTAGCACTACAGTTGCCTACAATTAGATTATTCCACTAATAAATTCAATAGCTTATTCCCCTGCCAAAGACTTTCATTTATATTGCCATTTACAACACGAGTGATCCACACCACTGTACTGGGTGACATGTCCCTTCATTACAATGAGCGTATGCACTGTAGTTTATTTTGGAGGAAATTACACATGCGCC